TCAATAAAATATTTGTCACTTTTACTTACCAGCTACACGGATCAGGGACTGTCACTTTTGACTAGGACACTCAACCCAGCCTAAATGAAACAGATCCAACAGAAAAGGCGTGAAAGTACTTTCAATCTTTCATTCCCCTGGGAGAAAATATCTTTAGGTTGAGGCTGTGCACAGGGATCACACCCAGGACTTTATACGCACAAGGCCAGCACTGTAATGCTGAGCTGTAATCTCATACCTGGAAACTTATTCCTGAAATGTATATCTGTGACATATTAACATCTTCTTTAATTGTGATATTTGCAAACAATGAAGAATGTAGTGATGCTCCTAAATAAAGATTAACCAGATATCCCGAGGCTAGCCAAATAAACACACCTGCCATATTTTATCTTCATTCCATACGTCAAGCCCCACATCATCTGAAATGCAATTTTGCATAATTGAAGACTGCTTAAAAAATGACTCAAGAAGGATTTGAAGAGTTTTTCTTTGATGTTCATTTAATATTTGATTTAAACTATTTTTATATTTTGTTATCTGAAATAATTCATCTACCATCTTCATGATAGAACACTAAACACAATTAAATAATATTTTAGTGAACATGTTTTAACAAGTAGCTTCTGAAATTTTTGATAAATTAAAACAAATAAATCAAGCTATATATTTAAAATCTTCAGTCAAATTTATTATAGTAATCCAATATGCTAAAGCTTTCATTATATAAAGTGAGATTTGTGATAAACATCTTAAACATTAAAAATTCCCCGAGGATTCAAAAATGTGGTATATTTACATAATGGAGTTCTATTCAGCAGTAAAGAAAGATGAAATAATGAAATTTACAGGTAAATGGATGGATCTAGAGACTGTTATACTAAGTGAAATAACAGACTCAGAAAAACAAACATGTGTTTGCCCTCATATGTGGCTCCTAGCACCAAATCCTTTTAAATTCCAGGTACTTTTAATAAGATGATGCTATACAGCAGTCCCTTCTGCATGAAATAACTACCATCTTCAAGACTTTGGCTGAGCCTGATCACTAAACAGTCACAGTTATGGGTTTGTTGACGGTTATGCTCATTCATGAACAGAGGGTTCTGACTTTTTCTAGTTCCCTGTCTAGAACTTGTAATGCTAATTACTCTTGCCTTTACTTCTCCTTCACATCTCCCATTCATGATTCAAGGACTTTCTTCTCCCCTTAGAGACAAAAGTTATGCAATTTGGGAGTCTTCTAGATAGACCCACTCCAATTGCCTCACACTGCGTCCCTGTTCAGCACAGAAGAAGCCAGAGCAGTCTGTGTCCCTATTCCCTATTGGCAATTTGGGTAACCCCCTCAGAGGATGGTGTGATAAGAACAAGAGGTAGGAATTGGTGAGGCAGTTAGGGTAAAAAGACCCCAAAGAAATGTAGCCAGTTTCTGGGCTAAAAGTCAAAATGTCCTTGGGCCTGTTAGCAACATACTCTGTTCCAAGGCCAAAAATGTCAAAAGTGTTTGGGAGCTTGTACCTAATCCTTAAAAGATTTTAGGGTTGCCTCTTCAGAGGGGGGAATGTTGGAGGGGAGGGAGTGGGCATGGATTTGATCAAAACACCTTATATACATGTATGAAATTCTCAATAAAGTTTTTGTAAAAATTTAAGAAAAAAGATTAAAGATTTAACCCCTCCCCCAGAAAAGATAATGAGAGCAGGAAATACCAAGAGTGGATGTTAGGGTACCCACTAAATTTCAAAGATGCTTTGTTCTTTGTGCAGATCTGAGGATTGACCCCATTGTCTGTGTCTGTCACATGTTAGGCCAGGACTCAATCACTGAGCGGCAGGAGCCCTCAGAGATTTTTTTCAATTTTCCTATAACCGAGTAAAACAGAACAAAGAAATCCTTCTCCTTAGGGATAAAATAGCCCCAATTTTGAGTTATGATTTTAGATAACAGACAAGATTACCTTATATGTATAACAAAATTTCTTTAATTAAAGATGAACTGTTTGAGGCTAGAGAGATGGCTCAGTGGTTAAGAGTGCTTGCTGCTCTTCCAGAGGACCTGTGGTCGGTTCCCAGCTCTCACTTCAGGCAGCTCACAACCACCTGTAACTCTAGCTCCAGGGGGTTCTGACACCTTCTGGCCTTTGAGGGCACCTACACACATGTGCCATACACACACACACACACACACACACACACACACATACCAATAAAAATAAACCTTTTAAAATTTTCATTGTTTAAAAAAAAAAATTCCCTGAAGATTCATGCAAATCCGAGCAGTTCAAAACCCAACATAGAACTGGGGAAATGGGTTGTGGGCTCCAAGACCTATTGGCAGCTAAGTCCTGCTGGGTGAGGGAGAGCTGATCTTTAAGAAAGAGACTCTAGATAGGCTGACTAGACCCCAGTGGGTGAACTTGCACTGAAGGACAACAGGGTGCACTAACTTGACTTGATAGGCCTTAACATAGGTGACAGAATGCATGAAATCAGGCAGAGATGGGGGTATGGGAAGATGCAGATGGTGGAGGGGATATAAAGATGATCAAGATATTTTGTATGAAATACACAAAAATTCAATAAAAATTTTTAAAAAATCATTGGGGGGGGAAACAGCAAAATAAAACTTTCTAATAAAAAGCTTAATTCAGTTCAGTGTGGACAGGCCAGTAATACAACACATAGCCAACATTAGCCCTCTACATACAAAAACATAGATCTGGACTGGGCAGCTCGTTATTCTCAAAAATCCTCTGAAACTATGAATATGTAAAATGAGAAGCAAGTTTTAAAATTAAGTTCCTCATTTCCCTGGGAGTATGAAATGGCTCCACACCAACTTCAACATGAAACATAATGAATCAAAAGAAAACATGCCACTACTTTATTTGTGTATTTTTCTTGTGTTTGTTTCTTCCTTCATTTTATCATTATAAATTTCACATAATAAAAAGTGGGTTCCTATACTTCCAATTATTTTCCATCGGGCCCTGGCAATGATTTACAGTAACTGTCACAAAATAACAAAGGTTCAGGGAAAACAATTGATAGGTTTCAGGAAATTAACAAAAGCCTACTTTATGCAATACAAACAAGGGATTCACCGGAGGTTCACGTGAGTTTGGCTCTTTATTTTACAGATGTGCAGCAGGTGAGACCTCTCACGGCAGGTTAGCCTGCCTGAAAGATACCACATAGCTAACTGCCCTTGTAGTCACTTATCCCACAGACCTCCCTGCAGTGCTCACCTCCTGCTCCACTATTACCAGGTAGCCTTTTCTAGGGATGCAATTTGGGAAAAGTTAAAGGAATGCCTGATGGGTTTAAAGTTGGGTGATTGATGCTCATGCACCTGTGTTCCCTACTGAACCATAAACTCATAACACATTTGCCTCTACAGAATTCAATAAGTGATAAAGGCAGAAGGACAGGATGTCCCGCATAACCAACCCTTCCAGGCTTTTACAACTCTTTCTTACAGAAGTTTCCTTATCTCCTTAAACTTGGGGAAAGCTGAAGCAGTCTCTGAGTAACAGTTTATTCATTCATAAAAAGAAACCAACGGGCAGAGAGTGGAGGTGGGTAGCAGTGGAGAAAAGGGAAGATGTTCCCTTTGAACTAGTCTCCTGATCACAGACCGTCTGCAGTACCGCAGGTGAGCCTGTGAAGCTGTGATAGCTGACACAGGCATTGCCTCACAATGAAGGACTAGCCTGGTCTGCATCAGTGGGTCAGGACTGAGGATCAAAGGCCCTCAGCACCATCGTGTTAGGTGATTCCAGGGTAGCTATTCCAGTTTCTTGGGCTCTTCATGGTAATAAACTGTCTGGCAACTTGCTTAGGATTTAATAATAATGACAATGGTAATAAAATCCTAGACATTTTAAGTGCCATAGAAGTGCTAGCACATATAAATAGTGCGTTTCTCTTCTGATGTGTAATAAACATGCACATAGGTATGTCATCCGTTTCACAGTGCCATGAAGACGAGGGAACAGGTCAAATGGTTCCAGTACGAGGTGACAAAAACTGACCCGGTTATCTAGCTTGGGGTTATGAAACACTCTGACGTTTTCCCATTGTACCTTCACATTCAGCTACCAAAATACACTGTCTGGATAGTCACTCTCACTTTACGGAGAAAGAAACTGAGATCTAGGGGGAGCCATTATTTGTTCAAGGTCATATGGTCAAGACAGAGCCCAGACTAGATTTCAAATTTCTCCCTCCTACATCTTCATTTTCTAACTTTGATGGATTAGTTATTGTTCATTTTCTCTCATATTCACTGAACATGTTTCCGTGCATTATCTAATTTAATCTCCCACTTAAAAGGCAAGTATTATTCTTAAGGAAAACTTGCCTGGCCATCTCAGGTTAAAAGGAGTGCTCCTTCCACTAAAGTTATATAACATTTGTTTTTTACAATATTCACTATATATATGTATAATGAGCCTTCATTTTAGCCACTATTTTAAGCGCTACCCTGATATACTTGAAGACAGTAAACATTCCAGTTATTCCAATTTTTATACCTTCTGTGATCCTAAGAATAGCGAACTGTGCATGAAAGATGCTCAGTTAATATATGTTACCTGAGTGGTTAAAGGTAAAGATTTAAAATAACATGGAGTCAAGTTTTAATGCAACATATAAAAGGGAGACATTAAGTCAGGTGTGGTGTCTCATGCTGTAATGTCAGTACTAAGTAGGTAGGTGGAGATGAGACAATTAGGCACCCAAGGTCACCCTTGGTTAGACAGAAAGTTTGAAGCTAGCCTGGGCTACTTAAGACCCTATCTCAAAAGGAGAGAGAGACAGAGAGAAACAGAGGCAGAGAGACAGAGAGATAGAGACAGGTGTTCAATTATTTGGGCAGCCACTGTATTAACTGATTACATTTCTTCAGTCTTTGGACTTAAACCTACTATAGGTGAATAAGTGTCTTTCATGGAATTAATCTGACCCCCAAAGCTTCCTTGCCTGATGCTTCCTTACCTGATAACATGTTGTCTGTTTTTATTGAGGGAAACTTCAGAGTCATCTCATGCTTGTGCCTATGAATCATCAGGTGGTCCTCTGTTGGGAAACGCTGTCAGGTAAATAGAAAGAAAGGAAGAGGAGTCATTCAGTTTTGTAACACACAATTGACATCATAGAGAAAAAAAAAACTTATTCAACATCATAAATATGTCAGGCAAAACCAAAAAGAAAAGAGTTAGTTCTAAAACAAAATGTTAGCACACAAGTAAATGAAGTTACAAGATGATTTATGCAAATGTGCCAAGAGGTTCCTTCCAATTATGCACAAACATGTGCTTGATGATGTCCATTAGAGTTCACTGAAAGGGTCACCCATGGTGCAGAAGAGCCTCAATCTTGTCAAGAAGTGAGCTCTACCTCTATATTCTCTAACTCCACACACTTTCCCCCAGAACTTTTAAATATTCTCAGGAACTATGCATTTCTTGAGGAACTAGAGTTGTTCATCTGGGGGAAGACTTTCAACTTTGTCTAACCTTTTGCTAAATAACAAAACAGAAAGTACAAAGGAGTAGGAGTGAAGATATTGAAATAACATAAACACCTAAGATATGCTATGCCCTAGCACCTGCCTCATGTCAGGAGGCTTTTTTACAAAAAGGGAAAAAGTCAGGTGTGGTAATGTACACCTTTAATCCCAGCACTTGGGTGGCAGAGGCAGGGGGGATCTCTGTGAGAACAAGGCCAGCCTGGTCTACATGATGAGTTCCAGGCCAGGGAAATCTTGTCGATGAGGCAGAGAAGGTGGAACAGGTGCTGGAGGAGAAGGAGATGGAGGAGCTGGAGGAGGAGGAAGTAGAAGAGGAGGAAGAGGAGGTGGAGGAGGGGGAGGAGGAGGGGGAGGAGGAGAAATAAGAAGAGGGAGGAGGAGGATGAGGAGGAGGAGGAAAAGAGGAGGAAGAGGAGGAGGAAGAAGAGGAGGAGAGGAAGGAAGGAAAGAAGGGAGGGAGGGAGAGAGGGAGAGAGAGAGACAGTGTTGAAATGACTATTTCTTATGGTCATCCAAAATAATTAATAATGGCAGCATGACAAAATTAAAATGTTCCCACTTCTTACACACATGACAATACCATGTTCAAAAAGAAAATGGATGTAGATCTTACTAGCACTGGAATTCTGCACATGGAAGTAGTCTGTAGTAGTTACTGTTTTACATAGTAGTGTGAAATTAGGTCTGAGGCATGATAAGTATGTCAGACATTATCTATAGATTAACCAATGCAGGAGAAATGCATGACAAAAAAGAATGTTGATTCATTTCAGACTTTGGAAAGGAGCTACATGCTATGCTTAGCTTTTGGAATATGCATCTATTAATGTACTCCATGGCATCTCTACAGTATGTTTCTGTTTATAAAGACAGCTCCAAGTATATCTGATTTTTTTTCAAATTATACATTTGACTTCATAGTAACACAACAAATTATTTTTAGTATTTTGTACTAAATATAATGTAGTCAGACCATATTTATTTGAGATTTTCAGGAAATGATGTTAACGTTGTTAAAAATGCTGTTTCCAAATACTTTTTGGCCATTTCTGGCTCTCTTATGTAGCTATGTGAGCAACTCTGTCTACTGTTTCATAAATGAAAGTGACCTGTCATCCAGGGGCAAGTTTCTCTTCTCTGGTGTAAATCCATCTGCTATTTCCTTCACCCCACTCATGGTATAGCACTGTGACTTACAGTATTAAAAATAGTGGCTCCCCAATCACACAAAATCTCTGAAGAATTACAAAGAGCATTCTGCATTTCTACCATAGGACTGTATCCATGGTAGCAGAAGTAATCTTTTGCTGTTCTAAACCATTGAAATTTGGGAATAATTTGTATTGAAATTTGGGGATAATTTGTTATTATAGCAGACCCTAACCTATTCTGATTCAGATTGGCACAGAACTGAATAGCATATCTGTTTCATCAAAGTCAAATAAAAATATAGGAAAAACAATACATTCTGATGAGCATTCCTGAGTCTGATGATTTGAACAAAATCTTCCTAGTTTCTCAGAACAGTCGCTGTAAATTTCAGTTACCCTGTACACCATGTTGGAAATTTTTCTACAAAAACTTCAAATAGTATGGATTTGTGTTCATAAGAACAAGGGAATTCACTGGGCTGAATCCTAGGAGAGGTTCTAAGAGCTCTTGTGCAAACATTACTTATTTACTTGTCATTTGTATTGTGGAAAGTGGAAAGCACAGAGTTTGCAAAGCACAATAATTATGCCAGATTTCTGATTACACAGAGGTTTGCTTTATATAACTTGAGGTTTTTCTCTTCTGGTTTATCTAGTCTCTTGATTTTCTTAATGCCACATAATGACTACCCCAAGTATTTAACACTAGCACAAATGAGTTAGAGACAGGGGTTAATGTAATGTAAGCAATATGGGAATTGCCTTCATTTCACATTAGTAAGCTATTTTAATAATAATTTTTAAAGATTTATTTTTATTTTACATGCGTGCATGCGTGTGTGTGTGTGTGTGTGTGTGTGTGTGTGTGTGTGTACGCACATGAGTGTAGGTGCCCACAGAGGCCATAAGAGAGCATTAGATCCCTTGGAGGTGGATTGCAGGTAGTTGTATTCCACCTGAAGTGTATGCTGGGAACTGAACTTGGCCCCTATCCAAAAACAGTACCTGCTCTTAACCATTGAGCTCTCTCTCCAACCCCTAATAAGCTATTTTTGATTCTATAAAATAATAGATGCTAAACCAAGCATCCTGCAATGCATATGATGAAAGATTAACCAGATTTCTGTATTTCTTTTTCTTTTTTTTTTTTTTTTTTGACAAAGGCTGGCTACGTAGCCCAGGCTGGCCTAAAACTTACAATCTTCCTGCTTAGACTCCCAAGTGCCAGTCTATAGATGCGTCTCTATAACACTGCATATTAACTACAGTTACCTTCTAAGTGAGAGAAATAATAGCAAATTTTAAAATAACTGAGGTGACGGAATAAAACAAATAGAGCTGAGAATTTCTCAAAACCCAGTTCATGCAGAGAGTAAAGGTTAAGTAAAAGGAACACTGGCTCTAGAAGACTGGAAGGAGCAATGGTTCTTGCTACTTCTGAGACAAAAGTCATGCTTACAAATTTATACCTTAAAAGGTCTTCCAGGTATCACAAGCCATTGCTAACACAGCAGAGTTTCTTGTCAAGGAGAGGAAGTGGAATGGAGGTGTCCCTCCATCAACAAACCCTCAAAGCAGTGCAACCCTGGCGATTCTTTTTATTCATCTCCTCAGCACCCTTTCTTTTCCCTCCAGGTTTCCAGGCTATAGGATGTCGCTAAGGCAAATACCATGATCACAACAATTGATGTGATGGGTTTCTAATGTTCCACTAGCAGACTCTTGGAACTATTGGGTGATAGCTATATTTTCTCTTCAGTCAAAAGATGGGCATAGTTTTGTAATACCCTGTCCATATTAAAGGAGACATGGACTTTTAGATACATCATCACATTCAAAGTTGTGGAGGAGATTTGGAATTGCCCTTTAAAATCAAAACACTACATAAGTCCTATTTTCCCAAACAGAATAGACCCTGTTCAAGAGATGATGGTACGGCTCAGGAGTCAAGTACTTGCCTAGGATGTGTGAGGCCCTGTGTTCAAATTCCTTGCACCCCTCCACACACACACAAACAAAAGTAAACCAAAAAAGTTGACCACACTCAGTCCTCTCCGAATTTGCATGTGATTTGGCAAATTCTTCCTCCATCCCCTCCAGGCTCAAAGAACTGAGTGAGGACGCCCACTCCTCCACAGGATGCTCTGCACCCTTTATCTTCTTGGCACTGATTCCTCAAGCTCTCACCCTCTCTTCTTTCCTTACTGGTTTCTTGCCCTTGACTAAATCTGCCCTGGCTATCCTTTGGCTTTTAAAAAGCTGCCTCCCTCGCAAGCTGCCATTAGATCACTCTGCTTCCCAGCACTGTCTAGTGCTCCTGAAAGAGTCCTCTATGCTCTTCCTTGCCACCCACTTACTCATTAATCCCTCCACCCCTCTGCTCTCTCCCAGGTCTCCTGTAAGCACATAACTGCCAAATCCAACAGGCTTTGTTGGGTCCTCCAACTATCCCAGCCCCAGAAGCCTCTGACACCAGTGACTGCATGTCTGAGGCACTGATTTATTTATGCTCTGCCTGACTCCAACAGAGGAAAGATGGCTTGGAGCAATGCGTGAGAGTGAGAGACCAACAGTTAGAAGTTGGGGGTCCAAAAATGCAAAGCTAAAGCCCCAATGAAACCACAGGCGGTGATTGTCAACCAGGGGCAATTTGGACCCCAGGGGACATCAGACAACCTCTGAGGATGTTTTGTGTTGTCACAACTGTAGAGTGCTACTGGAGTCTGGTGGGGTCGAGGCCAAAGGTGCTGCATAACACCCTCCAATACACAGAACAGCCCCACCTCAGAGACTTAACCTTAGATGTTAATGGTACCAAACTTACTACAGTGTACCATATAGTTCAGTAAGTATGCATAGTTCTCCTGTCTGATTTATCTGAATACCAGATGTTGCCAGATGATCTCCTCTACAGTCAGTCACAACCCTAGACAATTCCAACCTAGCCTGAACTCTCCTTTTATTTTGCTGGGTATCTAAAGATCCCATTCCACAAATTTCTCTTCCTTAGAGGAGCCTCCCTTTACCTCCATCAGTAAAGTCAGTCCCCCAATTCTATGCCTCATTATGGACTATGTCTCCCTTCATGAAAAATTGCAATCAACTAATTAATTGATGAGTTTGTCATGTGATTCTGTATTTGATTTCCAGACCAGAAGCTCTGTGAGTCCTGTGATGCATGTGTCTGCAGTGCTGCTGTGTCCCCAGGGTAACCAGTGGGCTTAGCACTCACAGGTCACCCAAAGCATACTGGGTGGCTTGAATTAATTAAAACCTAGGGTCTGGAGAAACAGCTCAGTGGTTAAGAGCACTGGCAAATTCTTGCAGAAGACCCAGGTTCAAATCCCATCACCCACAAGGCAGCTAGCAGTCATCTCTAACTCCAGTTCCATGGGATCCAACACCCTCTTCTGTCCTCTGCAGACATTGCACAGTACAGGCACACTGAGATACATGCAGGCAAATACACACATGCACATAAAATTAAAATAATAAATTATTTTAAATACAACTTAATAGCCATTGTCACAGCCAAAGCAAAGAAACCTGTTCTAATCACCTGGGTTTCTTTGGCCAAAGAGTCTTGCTTTTGATGAAACCAACTAGGAGTTTTACGTCAGTAAGGACCAGGGTTTAACTCAGTAAGAAGATGCTTTGTATTCACCATGGTGAGTCCTGTTCTAGTAGGTTTTCCCCAGTTGTTTACCAACCTATCCAGATTTTCCTAACACTTACTACTTCAGAATGGCATTCTAGCCAGTTTACTTCAAAACATTTTTCTCTACTGTTTTTCTTATTTACAAGTTAAAAAGAAACATTGGCACAAAAGTCTCTGATTAAAAATTCCAGACTCTGGTTGCTCAGCAGCTGATAGAACCAGTAACAGTGTCCTGTGTTTCTATGACTTTGTTCCTCCAAACACTCCACAACCCCCACCCCCAGAACCCTCCAAACGCTGGAGAGTTATAAGGGTTCTCGGTGGGCATCACCTTCCCTCTGATTCCAAGGCATTGCTTCATACAGTACTGAAACCCTACCACACAAACCAACAAGGTGGGCCTTGGTTCCCTTGAAGTGACTAGGAACATAAGGAATGGGTGCGACATCACACATTAGCAAGATGCTTATGCTCAGAGTCTTAGATACGTGTCCTATGTTCCATAAAATAAAGGTCACGGTGTGAACCTTGCACAAACCAAACCCACTAGGACATGGAATTATCCAAAAGTTGACCCTTGAGTCAAGAACAGAAAAAGTCACCAAAAAGTTTCAAAGATAAAATACAAACTCTGGGTAATTTCAAGTACTAGACATTTCTCATTTCTTTCAAAGAGATAGGTTCCGGTTTAAAAGGTCTAGTAGCAGCAGTTGTAGTAACAAGAGTGGCCATTAATTAAAGAATGTCTGTGTTCGGGCCCTATATTAAACATGCTACAAATGGAATCTCATCGAATGCCCACACTTTCGATTTGATGAGAGTAGTCAGAGACCATGGGACATCTGGCCCTCTTAAAGCTTAGATAACCAGGAAAAATGTGGTACTAGAAGAGTTAGAGGGCCATTTTTTTATTCAAAAGGGAGCCAAAGAAAATTAGAGTTCAACCCACAGTGGTGAGCCATCTCACCAGAAAGACCCAGCAAGTATTTGACTGGCTGTTGTGAAGTAGGCACATCCTTCCCGTTTCTGAATGACAGTCCAGCGGAAATGGTGGGCAGGATGTGTCTGACTTGCTTCTGGGGGAAGTTAGTCACAAGAATGTCAACATTGCTGTATTTCAAGGGGTGAAAGGGAAGTAGTTCAGACTATTCAAAGTGGAATATAGTAGTCATGAAGATGGCAATCATGATGGCAATGATCAGGGAGACTTTGATAATATCTCAGTTACGAAGTAAAGCCCAGTCTGGGCATAGTGGCATAGTGAGATGCTTTCCTGTGGGAAGCAGGGGCATTTTCTGCCAGCCAGAGCCTGGGAAGATCTGCACACTCACCTGGGAGCAGCCTGGGGCACTGCAGACAAACGGCCTCTCCTGCTCCAAGTTCATCTTGGATTCCTCATAAATCTGAAGGGTTAAAGGAGAAGAAAACACAAACCCATGAATATCTCCTGCTTCTGCCCGAGACACATCAGAAAGGTGTGAGAACTCTGGGACAGCCAGAGGCAAAATATCAATTCTAACGTGTTTGTAGGGCAAAACCTGAGCATTTTGAAAATCTTCCCTAAGGCCAATAGAAGCGCCGTTCACATGGTTTTTTGGCTAACATACATGCTGTTGGTAGTGGTTTTGTTTGTTTTTAATCCCAGGAAGTACTATGCAGACTCAAGTTACATTACTTACACAATTTTCCAAATATTTTGAAACCAGTTTTAGAGTTGAGCATATATGTTGCATGTGCTTTTAATGGTGCATGAGTCTATTGCTGAATTAAAATCTACTGCCTTAACCCTGAACACAGGAAGCAATCTGCTTCTTTAAAATACTACTCATGGGTGATTCTAAAAGGCTCCCGCACCCCTTCAGCCTTGGGAAGAGAGTGGCTTTTGGCATCGTGGAGGTGTTCCGTTTTGGTGGAGGAAGCTTTGTTACTGTACAGCAGAGCCAAGTTACTTCGAACATATTACACCTCCTCCTCTAAACACTAAGGCATTTCACATGCATTCTTTGGGGAAATATTTGCATCCGCTCCCTTCTGAAACATAAAAGGAGTAGATTTGCCTTAGATAACGTTGTCGGTCAGATATTAAAACACAAAACTAAAGAAACAGAAAAGAAAACTCTCTTCAAACCAGGGTTCCCCATTCCCATGCAGCTTTTACAGAGCACAGTCCTTTCCTTCTTCTTTCAGGGCTTCCCACTGGTTGCCCCACAATACAGGTGTTAGCATAATTCTGCAGCTTTCCTATATCAAGTATTATTGTAGAAAGTCCTTTGCTGTGGGCAAAACCTGGACATGTTCAAGCCAGATAAAATCCCAGCGTGGAGTGGGAAGGTGGGCAAGAACTCCCAGCCCTAGCTGAGAAACTACTGGTGATCGACAGCTGCTGGGAGAGGGGAGAGTCAGTTTTCTTTAAGGGGTTGAATAAGGTGTTCTCTGCGATGACCCCACACCCATGAATATTTGGGTACCACAGATTGGCCCTGATGAGTTTTAAAACAAAATAGAAGACACAAACTTGATTATACAGAGGTGAGGGTAGATCTGGGAGGAGACAGGAGAGGGAAGGTGAATATGACCAAAACACATTGTGTGAAATTATCAAAGAATTAAGTAAAATATTGTTTAAAAATTATTTTATTTATATTTTTCTTAATGTTTTTATTTTATTTTATTTTTTGGTCTTTTTGAGACAGTGTCTCCCTGTAGCCCCAGCTGTCCTGGAACTCACTAGGTAGACCAGGCTGGCCTTGAACTCACAGAGATCCACCTGCCTCTGCCTCCCAAGTGCTGGGACTACAGGCATGCACCACCATGCCCGGCTTAATTTTTCTTTTTTAATTGACACGTAATAACTGTACATATTTATGGAGTATACGGTAGAAACTCAATAATTTGCAATGGGTGAATAATGATCAAATCAGGGGAATTAGCATCGATACAAGCACTATAGTGTTTGTACCCTTTAAACTTCTCTCCCCTAGTTCTTCATAACAGATATAACAGGCTCCTCTAAACTACAGCCACCTTACTATGTGATATCCGTAAGAACAATACATAAATAGATATTAGGATCTTGCTTTTGCCCTTGGCTGACGAAAGTTATGATCAACAAAAATAACTCTTTGTGACTCTTTATTCATTTAATTTTGGCATCACTGATCACAGACCATCTCTCCTCCCCTTGGAAAATATGGAAAACATTCTTCTAAGGCTCAGAGTGAAGAGTCCCATGACACTGAGAAATAATCTGGATCTGAGGTAGGATAAACAGAGACCCTGTTAATTAATCTGCCATGTTTTTCTGGTGAAAACTCTTCAGTGCTTTGCTAGACCTCCTCTGCATTTGTGGACCAGGTCTGCTTGACAACGGCTTCAGTGTCAGAGGGGTATCAATATTCATCTGCACGCCCCTCTTTCCTGTATCTTAGTCCTTGTTTGGGAGCCTATAAGACATTTTCAAATGGTGGGAAAATAGCTGGGTATCTTGGAGGTAAAGGAAGTTTGTGAGTAAGTATTACTGGAACCCCACTCTAATATGAATCATTCCCTGTGTGCAAAATTACAAGTTAAAATTTATTCCTTATTTTCCATGTGATTCCTTCTTGGATACAACTTGAGAGCTTAGCAAATAGCTAATGCTATGAAGAAATGGTACATTTACAATAAAAACTAAGATTACGTGATACTAAAACAGGAAAGTTCTACATATACACATTTATGGCTGACATCAGAAAGTAGTAATTAATGATAATTAGATTAATGACCAAGGAACAACAGTGGTCAAGGCTAGAAGTGCTACTGCTGATACTTTAAAGAGATTGTTAACATGCCAAAGTGAGGAAAGAGTCGGCCAAGCTCAGGCACATCCACCTAAGGAGAAATTACCTTTCCACTATAAATCAATATTTCATCCCAGACCTTGACCCATCAAAACACTGACTTTCCCAATAAATTCAGGCCCCTCATACAAACACTTAGCATCTCTGTTTGGCATCAGCATTGGCTAACTCAATTACTGATTACAATTTGCTTCTTCAAATGTTTGCAACCATACAATGATTTCCATTCATGGACTCTTAACAGAGCCCAGTCCCACAGATTCACCCCATCACATCAAACTCTTATTGTGTGAATGTCACATTTAGAGGAATGTGATTTGTAATTTGATGTCCACTGACATGAGTCAGTAAAACAATTTATACTTCAGGAGATAAAATATTAGACATACAGAATCTATCCTCAGACAATTTCAAGCTTAGTCATCAATACATCCTACTAAATTACTCCTGCTGTTGTTTCAACTTTATTTTTCAACACAAACAAATCTGTATCAATTTATTGCGTGGTACACTTTCAACAACATAAGATTGGAATAAAGTCTTAAGGTACATGGCAGTTGCTAATATAAAGTAGGTTTTAAGGGATTAATAAGGCCTAATGTGAGTGGGTGTGTATAGATGTATATAAACCTCAACTGCTTTATTTTGATGGTCTACAGTTCCCACATTTAGCTCAGCAAACAGCACTCCCTTGCTAATTCCTTTCTGTGTAGGTGTTTGCAATAGGTTTACTAAATAGGTACCACTCTGCCTGTAGGCCTCATTACCTTTATCAACTGGTATGATCTGGTCTGATGTATTAGTCAAGAGGCATGGTTGATTTTTATGGTCTGTTATTATGGTTCTTTTCTAGTGCGCATATTGTAATAATTATTTTCTCAGACTCCTACCAAAGCTCTGCATACATTCCTTTTATCACCCATCAAGTGTAGGCAAATTACTCAGATGGGGTTTAGCCAGGTTGTTCCACATTCGGTCCTCAGAAGTCAGGCCTCATCTTCTCATTTCCCATTCAGTTATTTTACTGACTGGGATTCTTTAATAAACCAAGTTTGGTTTGGCAATCATCACAGCCTGGGCTCCACCACATAGAGCTTCCATAGTAGGCGTTTAATAAATATTTGTGGGCTGGATAATGAATCTTGATTCATCACAATAAACTGTCCCAACAGCCTCCTGTTGTCAACTCTGGAGGCAACTTTTTTGCCTAGTATCCAGTTTTCAGAGAGGCAAGAGGCTGTATGGGTCACTCACGCTTGTCTCCTGCTATGGTCTAAGACATCTCCCCAGACTTCATGGAAGAAGGTCAAAGCTGCTTTTGGTGGAAACAGTGTATGGGAAGGTGGGGAGTAGTTCTTATTAAATTTTATATGAAAATGCTTTAATCCATTATGAACTCAATCTGTTCATTTTGCCAGAGATATTGAAACCAAGAAAATCCAGGCTATTAGGCGTGTATGACCCCCATAGAATACCCTTGGGAGAAACACTGACTTTGGCCATATTGATGAAAATTGTCATAATTGTGGCAGATACTCAAATCATTTTGTAGTTTTTAAATAGTACTGTATTAGTTCCTCCTTTCCAAAAGTCAGACTCACTGTTCAACTAAAATCAAGTCTCTCATGAGTTTAATTGCCCCTCAGACTTTTAGAAAACAATGAAAATTCCTAATAACACACCCTCATAGTGCACAAAGTGAGCTGAGCTTTTCCCAGTTGACAAGGCGATGACAGGCTTGATTTACAATTCAAACCCTTCAATGCCACTGGATTCCTCTGGCTGCTAAGTGAGCAAGAATCTCTTTCATTGTTCAGATTTGACCCCACAAATTCCAGGTCTAAAATGGGAAGTTGGTCTACAATGACTGATGCAATCAATCCATTTAAAGGCTTTGCCAGCCATTTAGTGATATGCTTGGAACCACTGTTTCCATTGTTTCCAGTACGGCAAACTATGCAAGAAGCAAATGCTACTAAAAACTGGGATAGTCTACACAAAATACTCTAAACCTGTATTTTAAATTTAAGAGTAGCAACTGAGTTCAGAGAAAAATCTACACCATCTGTTTTGCAATGATCAATCCAAGCAGACACTTCAATCAACCGGCTGAGAGGCAGACTCAGCAGATCCTTAGTTACACCAAACTCTAATTGCAGTGGACTGGCAAAAACATTCCCTAATAATAGCAGCAGATTGATTCACAATTAATTATATAATCTTTGGAATGGTAAAATAGTAAAAAAGATTGTTTGTATCCAAAAGCCTGGTATATGCTCTGATTGGTACCAAGAATGTCAAAGATGCAGACTGAACTCTGACATATTGACATGTTGTCATAGTTCTGGTGTTATTAAAACCTGGTTATAGATACATTAGAGATCTGAAAGGGGAGAGTTGAACTTTAATAGTGATACTAAAACATTTGCCAGCATTTTTTGACGTACAGAAGCCTTCTTGGCAGAGTTCACCTGAAACAAACTTCCCTGCCTTCTTGAGCCTCCCTGATCCCTGAAGGAGCTCCAGAGGAGGAAACTGGTTCCTCCTGAAGTGGGAGGAATGCT